ATCGTGGCACGTGACCTGGAAAAGCTCATTTTTGAAGTCAGAGTGCAAAGTCCTTTAACGTGATACCAAAGCTGTTCCACAGAGTTGTTTTGCAAAAAAAAAAAAAAAAAATTTAGGTGTAAGACCACCTTAATGGTTTCCTTTCTTCCTATATGAGTATGGTGCTCCTCTTGGCGGCCCTTGGGGCGCCGGAGCTCCGCTATGATTAAATTTCTAAGAAGGCAAGCATATTAATTGTCTTTCACTTTAATTACTTCAGATCCTTTAATCTGGGACTACTCTTACATTGGCAAGTAAAGGTTATGATCACTTATTATTCCAACGAAACATTGCTCCCAGTTGGAATGTGGACCCCGCTAAATTGTTTTTAACATTATCCTTTGGTAACCCGTTGTTATCTGAAAAACTAAAAATATCTCAAGCACTGAGGAGATCAAAGCTAGCATCATGTCTTAGACACGCCACGTGTTACTGAAAGTGATTTCAAACGCATCGGTGAATATATCTTTTCTTTGGAACTGAAAAAATCCTTAGCCATGCACAACTATTTAGCACGTAATTTTCTTGCCCAAGAAAAGAAAACGACTTTTAACTTCAGTCTTTCTAATGCTTATTAGTGGTAAGAATTAAAAGTTGCTTCATACCTAAAAAAGAAAAATTGTTGCAGGTTTCGGCTTTGCTTTGCGTCGTTATTTGATCTGCGATAAACGCTTTTCTCAATACAACTGGGTGTTACCGGCTACAAAGCAATATCTAGAAAGTTCGGCTGGTAAGATAAAGACTAATTTATCTCCCATTCTGCATGTATGCAATTGCTGATATAAAATTAAATAAGAAAATCTTACGCCTACAACGTTTCTAATAAGATTTTTTTGTCCAAGCAAGCCAGTTTTTGTTTCTTGGACCATTTAAAACCTTTTAAAACGAAACTAGCAATAATCATATCATTTTAAAAACACAGATTCAAAAAAGTATTGCCTCAATCTGGGAATTTGATCCGTAACCCTCCAACAAGTAAATTAAATGATTTTTTTCCTTGAGGTAAAATTTCTAGTGAGAGAGACACTCGATAAAATTTCTAGTGTCTTCAGAATTAAAAACTCTGTGCATTTCCTCTATTTTACGCGTTCATAACCTGATTCCGGTTTCACCAGAACGAAAGGACGCCACGTTTCACTGCAATTAAGCTCTCTGTGGAATATTAGTGTTATTCCTCACGTTGCAACCAACATCAACGCTAACTCGACCACGATGGCCCTTACCATCACGATCGTGGTCAGGGAGAATCCCTGTAGTTAAGTTAGCAGATCCAAGGCTTTTCTGTGTTAGTTATGCGAAAGATATGCAGTGCGTTTTATCCGCGAATTTGAATTGAACAATCATGCAGTCTACTTTCGTCTTGTTTGCGTACAGGTGTATACGTATATCTTATTAGATGTTTTGGTGTGTAGTATTGCCGTATATTTTCACGAGTTGTACCGTATTTTGACGAGCCCGTAGGGGGAGTCAAAATACAAACAACGAGTAAAAACATTAAGCGATAGTATACACCAAAACATCTAATAAGAGATTTATTATCCAACTGCTGTACAAAGTCAATATATTTATCAGTGAAAGAGGGAGAGTGTGACAGTTTTGCGTGCGTGCGCCGACCTGTCCGACAAACAGGCTTTCTACTGTACAGAAAACTGTACAATATCGCTGTACATTTGTATTGTTATTCGGACGGTATTCGTTGCAGTTGGATAATAATGACTGAAAACAAACTGGTTGCAAAAGGGGAAAAAATGCAAGTCACATCTCTTGGCCAGGAATCGAAACAGTTGAGAAAACAGCCCTTCTTCTTGTCACGTGCGATGTACAAAACGCTGCTTTTAGGCGCCTTCTATTCGATGAAAAATTCCGGTTTGAATTTCCGGAAATTTCCATCGACAAATTTACCAGAATTTTTCGGAAATTCCGGAGAAGAGGACAACCTTGCGAGGTATACTGAAAATTTTGGAATTTATTTACCGGGAATTATTTCGCAATCCTTTCCATTTACCTTTTCTCCCAGAATTGCCTGAATGTTCGGTTAAATGGTTCGCTTTTCGGAAATTGAACAATTTCCGGATTTTCCTGGAACTTTTCCCAGGAGATTTCCGTACCATTTGTCCCCGTTTCCAAAGAATGAAAAGCGTCCAGTGTTCATGGCAGTAAAGCTAATGAGCGATGGGTATCGATTTGAGTATTAAACAAGCTGCAACAATTCACGCTATATAAACAGTCACATTGCGAAGGATCCGTAGCGTATGGAGTTATAGCATATAGAACAGGGTTATCAAATACAGCTTTCTCTCCTCGTTTACTTTGCAAACGCAAGACAATTTTTTAGACTGTTTTCCTTGTACAGTACTTATATCTAGTATAAATGCATTAAATACTAGTAACACACGATGAAAACTGTTATGAAAACCGGAGATATACGCTAGGCGTGTCTGGAAACGAAGGGGACCGTTAGACCCTTAGGATTGTCTTCGTTTCCATTGCCGAATTCTGATGATAGTAGCAATACCTCATATGTTCGCTTCCACAAGAGACATTATCAGAAGAAAACCAATTGACGAGAAACTGTTTAATTGATCCCACGCCTTTGATTGTGGTGACAGTTATGATGATAAAGTATCCACACGGGGAACCTAGCTCTGATTGCAGAAAAGTTAGATTCCCAACGCCGATTAATTTGTTCTGTTTATGTTAACAGTATCAATGGATTGTATTAAAGTATTAATATATTGAGAAACAGGCTGATCGAAAGAATGCTTTAATAAAAATCAAATTGTACATTGTATTACCATCTACAGTATTTAACACTTTGTCATGCAGGCAGGTGAATTCTTACATAATCAAAAGCTGTAATATCTTGTCTTGATGTAAGGCCGGCCAAATGTTTAGAATTGCAACCTTAAAAAGAGACGTTCGTATAAGTAAACCAACTAGTCATAATCAGGAATTTCGGTATATATCGAGCTTTGCAGCAAAATAGCTAACTCTTTTATACTGGGCAGCCACATTTACTTCTACTAACGCAGGTGTTACAACTGGGGAGAACAAATTAACTAATTTTCTTTACCAGGGTATAATTAAAACCTACAAAGAAAAAATTGTATAGCACCGAGTGATTGGGTTTAGTGTTTGCACATTTTTTTTGATGATAATTGTATCTCAATATTGCCTGCTTAAAAGGCAACTAGATATGTTTTCTTTTCTGTGTTTTCAAAACAGAGAGATCCATGTTTAATTTCGGCACGAAAGCAAGTTGTTCCTTCCCGCAAACTAATAATTTTTTTTTTCGATTTCAATAAAACTTTCAGACAAAGCGATCTTTTATGCTTGTTTTGCTTCAGGATGCCAACCGATCGAATCTCAAATAGTTCCCCCAGTTTTAAGTCTCACCAAACTGGACAACGTCGAGATTGATCAAGTCTAGGACGCCATGTTTCGCAGAGAAATGTCGCTTCCACGGGCAGCATTACTTATATTTTTGGTGTTTCAAGAGGTGAAAGTAACATACATTAGGTTACTTTATAGTATAACCCGAATGAGGTCAGCATAAAGATGCATGCCTTTTCTTTCGGCATCCAAAACTGCGCTGTTTATCGGGACACTAAACTGAGAAGGGAAAAAATTATTGTTAAACGTATGTATCTAAATTAACTGAATCTCCCCAAGGAGATAATTCAGTTAAAAAAAACGCCAAACGTGAAACGTGAAGTGCGAAATGCGTAATGCACAAAAGATCTTGTTCAAAAACAACGGATTTGCTTAAAATTGTACTAAAAGCTTTATAGTTTGTTTCATTAATTTCAAGTAACCGTGCAACTTATCCTAGTTTGAATTTGTCGTCAGATTTCAGGCTATGATCCTGGCAATTACAATGGACGATTCTATCCGGTATGTATGACTTACTCCTCATGTGGATACTTATGGCAAGAAATTGATTACCATTCAAAATCTGTAGAAATTCGTTGTCAGCTAGCAGTGTTAATCTCTCATAAATTTATCTCATGAGTACGATTTTATCACAAATACTTCAGAGTAGAAATTCGTTGAATAACTGTGCAATGTGGCTTTGGAGGCAATGTAGATGTCTCTGCCTCTGCCTGATGTTAATGTTTTTTGTTTGTGTGGGTTTTTTGTCTGGAATCTTTGAGTGATGCGAACATGTTTGAAAGGAAGACATGTAAAACATCATTTAATTGTGCTTTTGGTTTTCAAATCTATCTAAAACACTTCTCTCTTTTTTGGCAAGAAAGATCATATCGGGCAAATTTTTATTTTTTTGAATGGGACTCATTGGGAGACATCTCAAATAATTTTGGGTAACATTTTTATGTAGGCCCATCGATTTGAGCCTCTTCCAGGATAGCACTTACGATTGAATACCAAATGGTTTCACCAAAACCGACAAAAATAGGGATTGAAAATTATTGTTGCTTTCAGGCTCATTTCTGCAAAAACATAATTAGATCCCCTGTACCACTTAACATATTTTTAATCTTGAATACCGTTTTATCTTATAAATTCTCATTCTTGTTACTTTACAAGAGGAGGGAAATAAAAGGAAGAAAGCTGACTGGAGGGTACGTACTACCAGTAATGGTAGGTAGGTTAAGTCTACATACGAGTTCCGCTGCGTATTTTCAACTCTCTTTTCGTTGTTTGGATATCCTGATGAAACACTGTCTCTCGTGTTTGATATATTACGCAAAGTTACTTTTCCACTTTCCAACAATCATCATCTGAAATTGACCAAGAAATTTAGGTGACAGATGCCAACATAGGGTATGTGAGAAAATATTCTTCATCTGAGATTGCCAATCCAAGTCTTCACCAGGGTTCGCAGTTTAAAATTTTATTTTTCACAGAAACCTGACATATTGCTAAACTTTATGGGTATAATAATTGGCATTAAGATAGCTTTATGCTTAGAAATCAAAATAGCTTGAAAATAGGATATAGTTTTGGCTTAGATGGGGATGTCTTTTGTATATTCTATCAAACTTATTTAGCAACTTTCTACATCCCAAATCACTGGTTCCCAGACTTAGCCTTTGCGTTTAAGTATTGGAGCACTTTAGGAATTTAAACGGAATTGCAGTTCTAAATCAGTCTTAAATCTGAATTTCAGCCAAATTTTCTGGTTATTTGATTTTGTCGTAGTTAGATGAGTCTTTAGTTTCCATGGGGAAAAGGGCAGTCTCTCTTAACCAGGTATGTCAGCCTTTGTAAAAACTTTTCGTTGCCTATAAACAAATCATAATTATATGCATCAATGACACGCCTTTCGCCACGTAGGTCGCATTAATATCATTTGATTATAGTCACGGCAATAAACAAAGAAGTTCTCTAATAAGTTTCGAAAAGTATTACTTGTTCTGTAAGCCAGCCCTCCCCGTCCACTTACTCAGAATGAGTCAGGTCATAACGATGCTCCTTGCCCTTATAACGATAGAGATAGTGTTTACAACGGGTGACTGCAAAATGAGTCTAGTTGCTTCCAATGTACTCCACACATCGTAATGTGTAACTCATAGCACCGTTGTGAATCATGCCAATATGTTAGAAGTGTTGTTCATTTTGTGTGCAAGCACTTATTGCTCGCCACAGACGCCACAGTTCTTTTGAGCAGTCGAGCACTAAGGCCTTTTTGAGCGAGCAAACGCCACTTTTCATTCGGTGGGTGGCTAAAAGGGGCCTTCTTCTCGTTTCAGAAATGTCGGACTCCCTCGCAAAATTCGAAACCCAGTAAGAAAATTTGTTTTGCAGAATACTGCCCGCTGTTAAGAAATCTAAAAAAAAAATTGAAACTGTACAACACTAAGAAATGAAATATGGGACATTGTCCACTCAAAGTGAAAGTTCATAACAAGAAACATAGGTTAACAGGAACCCAGTGTCCGTGTGCTTTATAGCTGGCAATGAAGGCATTCCGGAAAAGCAATCGACGAATTTGTTCGCTTAACTTGCCACCCTCTTGGAGTTGCAACAGGCGTTTTCCTTGCAAAATGAGAGCCGATATTGTCGCTACGCAATGCTACAGCACAGACGACTCGCGTAAACCATCCTTAAGTCATGGGCGGCTAGGCAACCTTTTTAAATGATAATTTATGACACAAAGTTTACTCATTCAGCAGAGTTTCACGGTACGACGCATGCGTATGTGCTGGTACCTTTTTGTCTTTCTTACGAAACCACATATAGTTCAGCAATGACCGACTATAAATTGAGCAAGCAGAACTGTACTGATGATTACATTTGATGGAAGAGAGCAGCGGATTTACAGAAACCGAATTCAATTTCAATCAGTCAAATCAATTTAGTATTGAATGGATCAAATTATTTTGCTACTTAGATCAAAGGCTAATAGACCATTTTTGTATTCTTGGTATTGGACTGGAACTACCTTGCAACTGAGGCTTATGCGGGGAAATCTTTTCAAATGCAATAACATTAATTTATCTCTTTTTAATGATATTCCCCTACATAAGCATCCATTAGAAGCTAGTTGCAGTCCAATACCCAGAATACGGCAATGGTTTATTACTAGGATCCTTTTTGAAGGCTACTGAACACCTTTTTTATTATTTTTTTGATCCAGGGGCCGGAGCCCAACAAGGTAAGTACTTCTGTGAGTCATTGTTCGTTTCATCGTCCAGCCCTGACCTTCCTAGTTTGACCACTGGGGACTACCAACCACTTTTTGTTTCAACAGACAGCGCCTGGTAGTTACAATGGACCTGTAAACATGGGAAAACGACGAATCTCAAGAAAGGTATCTTCTAGAAAGAATAGAGTTGGGTATTTTTAGGTATTTTTAGCTGACGAATTTTTTTATCGTGCTAAAATAAAGATAATCTAATCTTATCTGAGTGTCTGTTTAAGAACGTCCGTTTAACGTTTTTTACGCATCGTTGCTGTGCAAGTCATTCATGTCACAACGTCAAGCCACGTCATACATCAAGCGCACGCTAATAAGGAAATATAAGCGAGTATAGGTACCGGGTGTGTTAACTTCACCTGGAGTTTATTCTCCTAAAAGGTCGGTGACCCCCTCTTTTCTTTATATAAATCACTTTCTTCCATGATTTTCTCCATTTTAACAGAAAACAGCAAAAGAGAAGTTGCAAATATTTCGCCTTTTCTGTTCTCGT